AAAAAAAAAAAAAAAAAAACAACCAAAAGAGGAAACTCCGAGTGTCTCTACTTCTCCTCCAAGTCCTCTCTCAATCCCTCTCTTCTTACCCTCAAAAATCCAACATGGTATCAAAGCTGAAATCTTGAGGGACCTGTGAGAGTTTGTTTTTTGAGGGAACTCCAGATAAAAAACCCACCTTTCTCATTGTTTTCAGACGGTTTTCATGGAAACCCCTTTTGCTTGGCCAAAATCTTGCAACAAAAAAAGGCTGTGAAGATGGAGGCATATGTTAGTCCCACCATGGGAGATGTCAAGGAGAGGAAAGCTGGATTCAAAGAGAAGGTGTTCGTGTTTGTTTCAAAAATTAGTCCAAAAGGCAAATCATGGTTGATGAAATGGGAAATTGAGCAAAAAAAACTCAGTTTCATGGTATGTTCTTCATCCATCTTTTATGTTTGGTATGGATATGTTTTGAGTTTTCCCAAGAAAACTCTTCATGGATGTGGCTATGATGTTCTAAACTCCCACAGCTTCATGGCAAAGAATGTTTGATGGAGATGATGGCAAAGGAAAACTGAGCACATCTCAGTTTCATTCTTTGTTCTTCAACCATCTTTTATGTTTGTACTTCTAAATGTTAAGAGTTTTTTCATAAAAAAAAAAAAAAGAAAAAAAAAAGAAAAAAAAAAAAGAAGAACTCTTCATGTTTATGTACTTGTGAACCCCATGGCTTTATGGCAAAGAAGTTTGATGGAGGAGCAGCCAAGACCAAGCACAAAATCACAACTCGAGAATGTACTGAAGCAGAAAAGATCCATGGACAAAGCTGCTGTAATGGTGGAGTTGCAGAAAATGTTTAAGGCTTTTGAATTTTTTCAAACAGCAAAAATCTAACAAAGATGAAGCTGATTTGCAAGAGGAGCTAAAATATTTGAGACGATGGTACTTGGCAGCAAACAACAAACCAAACCAAAGACAAAACTGAAAATGGTAGATTCAATGTGCTAAAGTAAAATTGTGTTTCTGCAGCTTTAATGCCAAGGAGCAGTTTGTTGGAGCTATGGCATGAAAGCTGAAAATGCAATGAAATGAGATCTGCTAAATGATGCTGCAACATGACTGCACAGTAGCAACAAAGTGACAGCAACATGGAGCTTCACATGGGCTACAAGAAATGGCAGCAAACTTCATCATTTTAGTCAATGTTTTAGGTAGTTAATAATTATAGTTTAGGTAGAAAAATATTATTGTTTTATGTTAGCCTTCTTCTATAAAAAGGAAGGAAGAAATTGATGAAAATTGAGAGAAAAAGAGCATGGTTTCTCCTCTCCGGTTGGGTGAATGTCTGCACCCTTCCATGTTTATGGCTTTTATGTTCTATGTTATGTTGTGTTGTTTCTGCTATAAATAGCAGGATATCAATGAAAGAAAATGGGTTCTGACCTCACCAAAAGAGAAAACTCCAAGTGTCTCTACTTCTCCTCCAAGTCCTCTCTCAATCCCTCCCTTCTTACCCTCAAAAATTCAACAGTTTAAAAATAAAAAATAAAAAGAAAAAACGGTCAATTCTGCATTTGCGTCTTGTCCAAGCCTTATAAGCCCAATGACAAGGCCCATACAAGATCCAATCTCAAACTTATTTTATGACTTAGAAAAAAAAAATCCCTCGAATGCGTCTTGTCCTCTGCTGGCTTGACGTTTGTACTTTTTTAATATTTTTAGGTAAATTCGAGACTTTAATTTATAATTCGGTCTAACCACCCTTTCTGTTGGAGGTTGGCGAAGGAAGGACACAGGTAGTCATGACAAACGAGTCGGATTGGGTTGTTTTAGATTTTGAGTCTCTTGGATTGAGTTATTTCGAATGTCGGATTAAAGAAAATAAATTCTTTTTTTTTTTTTGGTGGAAATGGGAATTTCATTGAAGCAAATTAAGTTTTACAAAAAGTGGTCCGATACACAATACAACCATTTCTATCATGAGAGTAACTAGAGGAACAAAAAGACGGAGTAGAATCAAAAGTGACAAAAGGGGCTTCCATGAGTGCTCCATGCTTGGCAAGTGTATCAGCCACACCATTTGCTTCACGATATGTGTGCTTGATCAGCACCTGTTCAAACTATTGGGTCAACAATCTGCAAGATGCAATCAAAGTCCTATGATTTAAGCATTTCACAGAGCAATCTGCTAGAGCATTGACTACAAAAGTAGAATCAGTTTCCACTTCAAGCAGTTTAATCTTTAATTTCGCAGCTAATTCCAAGCCGATTTTGATGCCCCAAAGCTCAGCATCATTATTTGTTCCATATCCAAGATTCTGTGCAAAGCCCATGACCCAAGTACCCTCATGATTTCTAATTACTCCACCAGCACCAGTGCAGGTTTGGGTGAAGTTAGAAGATCCATCAGTGTTCAGCTTAAACCACCCCTCCCTTGGAGGAAGCCATCTAATAGGAAGGTAGGTGCAGGAATTAATTCTCCTAAGATGGGGATTAGAGGAGCAGAATTCTGCAGTAAGGCCTATACTTTTTGAGGCAATTTCCTGCAAGTTAGAGTAGTTGTGGAAACAAAGATTGTTTCTATCACGCCATAGGTTCCAAACAAGGTAACAAAAATAAGTTGCCCAAGGGATTCTAGGATGGGTGACCCAAAGTTTAGAGGTGCAGTTAGCTTTAAGCCAACTAAAGAGGTTAAGTTGGAAACTACCATAGAGAGCAGATGGGATGGATATGGATTTCCAGAAATTAATGATAACAGGACAGTCTCTAATAAGGTGAAGGGCTGTTTCTAGGGCAGAGTTACAACGAGGGCATGCAGTAGGGACTTGTATACCACGAGAGGCTAAAAGAGATCTAGAAGGGATTCTGTCATGAGCAAGCAACCAAATGAAGAAACTAATTTTGGGAATAATGAGACATTTCCAAATCCAATTCCAAGAGACTCCCCTATTTTGTGACTCAAAATTACAGACCATATGGTAAGCAGAGGAGAGTGTGAATGATCCATGAAGAGAAAATTTCCAAGAGACACAATCTTCTTCCAGGGGATTGGCAAGTGCGAGGTGGGAAAGGACAGTGTATTCAAGTGAGGGTGGGAGGTGACAGTGGAGCTCTCCAAAAGTAGAGAGGAAGGCAATGGTATCAGCAACTGTGAAGGAGGAATGCTCAACAGAGAAAGGACCATGAATGTTTTTATCAATGGGGCCGAAGGGGAGCCAATGATCTTGAAGGAAATTGACTTGAGTGCCTTTGTTGATGTTCCATGAAATTCCTTCAAGGAAGGACGGGTAATTTTTGGTCATTGCTTTCCAAATGTGGGAAGAGGGATTGGTAGATCTTTGGAAGGAGTATTTAGCTTGGAGTAGTTTAACCCAAGGAGAGTGTGGCAAGGTGAAGAAGCGCCAGATAAGCTTAAGAATAGAAGCTTGGTTAAGCTTATTACACTTCCTAATACCTAATCCACCCTGTTCTTTAGGTAAGCAAACAGTATCCCAGCTAATGAGATGAAGTTTGCGTTTATCAGGTTCATCAAGCCAGAGAAAGTCACGAATGAGTTTATCAAGAGAAGTGCAGATATTGACAGGAAGTGAGGTACATTGCATAACATGCATAAGAAGAGCACAAAGGGTTGATTTAATTAAGGTAAGTCTTCCTGCAAGTGACAGAAGTTTAGCTTTCCAGCCTGAGAGTTTTTGTTTGGCCTTGTCAATGATGAATTCAAGGTCAGATTTAGTAGGCCTCTTAGATACTATAGGAAACCCAAGGTATTTACCCATACTTGTGGCTTTTTTAAGGCCCAAAATGGCACAGATAGAGTTGCTAGTTTCTGCACAAACATTTGGTGAGAAAATGATTTTGGATTTTTGAGTGTTGATGGATTGACCTGAGGATTCACAAAAACTATCCAAGACATCTCTAATGGCTAAAGCAGTGGAGATTTTTGCTTTTCCAAATAGCAGAATGTCATCCGCAAATAAGATACGTGAAAAAAGAGGTCCATTTCTGGACGCTTTAAGAGGTTTCCAACATCCCAATTGACATTTTTGTTCAATAAGAAAAGAGAGATATTCCATACATAGGATAAATATGTATGGTGAAAGTGGATCACCTTGACGAATACCACAGGACGGAGAAAATTCTGCAGAGAGTGAGCCATTAATGGAGATTGAGGTAGAAGTGGTGCAGATACATGACATAATCATCTTGATCCAAAGGGGGGGAAACCTAAAATGGCTGAGACAATTTTTAATGAAGTCCCATTCAAGGCTGTCAAAAGCCTTGTTGAGGTCAATTTTAATAGCCATATCACCCATTCGTCCCTTTTTTTTTTGCATGGCTGACACAAGTTCTTGGGCAATGATGGCATTATCAACAGCAAGTCGCCCAGGGATAAAACTAGATTGAAAGGGACTGATTAAGTCATTGAGGAAAGGACGAAGCCTAATAACAAGAAGTTTGGAACAAATTTTGTAGATTGTGTTACATAGACTAATGGGGCGGAAATGGGAGATAAGAGTTGGGTTAAGGATTTTAGGGACAAGGGTAATGATGGTTTGGTTGATGTCTGCTGGAAGGTTCCCAGTTGTGAAGAATGAGGAAACAATGGCACAAATGATGTTTTTGGTGGATGGCCAGAATTTTTGGAAGAAAATAGCATGTAGGCCATCTCTTCCAGGAGCTTTAAGAGGGTGAAAAGAATTAAGGGCCATCAAGATTTCATCTTCTGAAGGGACAGAACAGAAGGTGGGGATAGAATTGAAGAGAGGGTGAGGTGGGATCCAAGTAGAATCAAGATTAGAAAGGATGGGACAAAAGGATTTCCTTGAGGTGAACAATTTTTGGAAGGAGTTAGTAATAAAGTTACTAACATCCATGGGTGAGGAAATTTCAACATTGTTCTCATCAAGGAGAGATAGGATTCTATTGGATTTCCTTCGAGAGATGGTGCTAAGGTGAAAAAACTTAGTATTGCGATCACCATCATTAAGCCAGTTGATTCTAGATTTCATCTTCCATAAATCATCTTCCATAAATCTTCTTCCTCTAGAAGGATAGTTTGGTATTCAGAGGTTAGCTCTTTATGAAGCAGGAGAAGGTTATGAGAATTGAATCGAGTGGACTTAATTTTTAAAATATTAAAATTAAAATTAAAATTTTTTATATTTTTCTCTATTTTTTTTCAACGAATCCTTTCCTTTGCTTTCTTAAGGCTATCATCAGTTTTTATAACCTGTTTTAGCAATCTTGAGCTACTAGCAAAGGTTGTATATATATGAGAAAAGGCAACGCACATTATTTTGCCCAAAACTTGAAAATTTGCTTGAAACAAGCAACAAACAATTTCATATTCTGAACCGTCCGACCAACACATAATCAAAGAATAAGAGCTTGGAAGCGAAATACCGACGGTGGAACTCGACAGCTATGACTTTCCATTTCCAAGATGAAATCCACCTCTTCTCCTGGACAACTAGGACACCCAGAGTCTGATTTTTCTGGACTTCTCTTGCTTCTCGAATGCAAAGCATCCCGGTAGCTGCCTTCTCCTTCTCGCCTTATTCTGTTTCCTTCTTCCCTCTTGATTTTCTCCATTTTCTCAGCTCTCCCGTGTGTCTCTCAGGTGGCTATGGCTTGAATCATTGGACAGAACCCCACTGGCTAGTATTTATTGGGTGATTCGGGAGAGAGCCTCCCCCTGGCGTCTTTCGTGGCTTTCCACCAAGTGGCAGCTAGATTTTTTTTTTTTTGTGGGTTCACCGGCAGCTAGGGTTTTGATGGGGTAGAGAACGGCTGTTTGGTTGAAGAAGTGGACGGTTAAGTTGAAGAGAAGGATGAAGGGAAGCGGCGACAGAGCTACAGAGGGGCGAGACCCCTTTTTAGGGTTTCTGACGAAAAACTGGATGTCGAACGGATTTTAGGCAGAAACTGGTTGGTGGGTTTCCGGTTACAAGGACGTCAATTTGAGCTTCCCTAAATTCAATAAATAGTTTATTTCATATTAGCTTAAAAATAATATTTTTTTTAAAATGGTCTATGCATTTCGTTAACTGATGAAAGGAATTATTTCTAACGGTTTATAAGTTCGTTCCTAAACTTTTAAAAAATGTTAAATTTAGTGCATATATATTTTTATAATATTTTATTTTTGAAGTTTGAATTTTATATTATGTCAAATATAATAATTAATTAAGATAATAATTTTAATTTAC